TGGATAATATCTTAAGTTTTCAGACCAGAATTTCAGAGTGAAATTCTCTGAGCTCCACTAACTATAACACATCTTTTTAAAATACACTCTGTTAAAATGAGCTGCCAAAGGATGATTTCCCATTCACAACAGGAGACAAACCCACCAGTCCTGAGCAGAGGTCTACAAAGATGTAGATCTAACAACACCAATGTAAACTCCTTCAGGTGCTTACTGATTGTTTCATCATTTCAGTATCTTTGGATACCAAGGTTAGGCTGCCAGTTGCATAATCTCTGAGATCTTTGTCCCTGTTTCTGCCTTTAACCTTCCTTCCTACCTCCTATATCCACCATAAATTTCCCAAATTACAGTTAATGATTCAGAGATTGCTTTGGATAATATCTTAAGTTTTCAGACCACAGTGAAATTGTCTGAGCTCCACTAACTACAACACGTCTTTTTAAGATACACTCCTGTTAAAATGAGCTGCCAAAGGATGATTTCCCATTCACAACAGGAGACAAACCCACCAGTCCTGAGCAGAGGTCTACAAAGATGCAGATCTAACAGCACCAATGTAAACGCTGTTCCCTCTTTAGAGTCCACTTAGCTACGGAAATCAGATGTATAAATTAGCTTTCCATTAGCAAGCAAAATACTTGCCAGTAAAGTACGGAGGATTCTCATCTTGTTCTGGAAATGACATACAAAGACAACACGCAAGTCTACTATATTCTTAAAAGATAGAAACATGGTCAACAGCAGTCATGTTTTACTCTAAACCTAGCTGTTGTTCAACAACTTGTCCTAATCTCTCTCTCGGTGCCCTATGCCCATATAGAACATGGATTTCGTTTTAGATTTTACCTGGCCATCAAAAACAGCACCACACTCTGATACAGCATTAATTAGGACTCAGTTTCTCACTGTAATGCATTTTGCTTAGTTACCACAGAGTTATAAGTAATTTCAAGTTTGTTAGAATATGCTGTATCACTCTGTTCATATCAGTTTATTCCTTGTTAAAAAGAACTAAATTTATTATCTGTGAAGGTTGCTTGAAAAATGCAGGTAAAAAATGTTGTTTTATTTTATCCCACCATGAATCCTATGATCAGACAGTTTAAAGGAGGTTTTAGAAGAGAGAGAAAGAAGCTGTAGCCTCTATTATGGTAGCCTAAAGGGAGCTTCACAGACTGCGGCTGGAGAACAAAAAAGACTTAAATAAGGAAAAAAAAAAGTTAATTCAGCTGGGGGTCGTTTTCCTTTTTGACTGGACAACAGTTTTCTTCAATGCTCAGTTTACTTGTTTTGATGTAACATATCCAGCACATTGAGTTTGCAGGGCATTACCTACTCTGCAGTGACATTCCCCTGTTCTGCTGCCCTCCAGGTAAACAAAGATCACAAAAACAAGCAAGGCTGAAAACTTAGGTACAGTAAAAAAAAAATACAGGACTTGTGGTTTTAATCACATATAAACTGCCAGGCCAGCAGATGACAATGAATCAATATTAGGGAGAAGATCACATTTCTTTTTCTCTTATTTTCTATATACATAAATGTTTTTATGTATATAGAAATATGAGAAATAAATCATAAATCAATAAATCCTGAGCTATACAGAGGGAACTTAAGGAACTAGTCAGGTCTAACATATTGTTGGTATCAGCTTGCACACTGTATACATTTAGAAGTATTTGTGACTGCCCTGGCAATCTCCTAGCAGAAGATCTCTTCCAGACACGGTGCCTCAAACTAAGAAAAGCAAGCTGAGAAATCGTGACGGGACTGAGCTTTGAAGGAGCTTGAAAAAACCTAGGGCATCTCAGGGAAAGATTACATCCAATCTCCCTTGAACGTTGCATAACTGTGCATCTACCCCAAACTGGTGCTTCAAATTCAGCTAAACTGCAAATAACATAAAATGTCCAACCTCCTTTCAGCTGCTCCCCACAATTTGTTGTCATTTTCACTAGTTACCAAAGCTCTTTAACAAGAATCTTTTTTTTTTCCAGTTCATTTCCCTTTTCATCGAAGCATCTAGAAGCTGCAAACGGCCAGGTCCTTGTGGCAACCAGATGCTGAAATAAACACCTTGAGCATGCTGCAGGTGACTCTGCCTGTCCAATTCTGCTCAGACAAACATTTTAATCACACAAAATCTGCCTTTAAAGCTGCCTGGAGCCTCTGAACTAGATTGCAGCACACATTGTCAGCAGCGAAAAACCCAGCCTGCAGAGCTCCCCGTGTTGGGTTATGTTCAGCTAGACTTTGTACTCTCAGACTGCACAATTTTTATCTGAACGTCAATCACAGAATATTGATATAAACTCAGTAGAACTACAAACAGAGCTGTCAAAGGCTGTTTCTATGATTTATGATAAACGGGCTTCCGCTAATGAGGCCTGATTTTCCCCGGGCAATAATAATAGTAAAACCTAAAAGAACGAATGAAGATTTTATTATTATCCTAATATAGATTGAAGATGTTGATATTTAGGAGGAAAGTACCTTGGTCTCTGTATATACTAAATTACAGAAAACGTCCAAGGACTAATCAAAAACAGGAAATGTCATTACACTCCACACACACACACACAAAAGGAGGGAGCAGTTTTCATCCCACTGCACACGACTTTTATGCAAAATGAAATAGGTGCTTCCTTTAGATCACTAAGACGAGAGAGATTGCTGGGAAAAGGATGAGATAACCATATCCCAACCTCCCTAAATTAACGGGAAACCTTCATCGGCTTCAGTAGGGTTTAGTCCTAGCTGTGGCTATTCGGAAAAGCAAATCAAGGCAGCCCTGGGAAGGCTGCTGGCAAGTGGAGCCAAGTGCAGAATGGTAATCAGCAGCAGGAAGGACCTGGAAAAACACGAGCCACCAGGCTGCGAGATGTGGGATGGCTTCCAATAACTGCTGTGTGCGCCCCTTTCATACCTCTGTTGGGCTGGAACACGAAAGCCATGCACTGAAAGGTGTACGTTTTGGTTTTCAAGAAAAAATGCTTCCAGTTTCCTCCAGATACATAATATTAACTGTAATCCTAAGTGAAAAGGTAAAATGTAAGGTTTGTGCTGTGCAAAAGCAAGAGAAGTTGGCAAAGCCCACAGCCAGCAGGAAGCCTAATCAAAAGATTAATTAAAGCCACAGAAATCCTCTAGCCCACCAGAGTCTCCTTTAAGAATGTGCTTAGTAGTTTAGCAGAATTGCTAATGATTGAGTGCAAGAGCTACAGAACTACAGCAATTAGTGGGTTAGTGCTCTCATACTGACCGTGAATTGTTGTGAAGCTGATTTACATACAGCTTTATAAGAGAGTGCTCATCAGCCACAGGACTGGCTACATTTACACCCCCAAGTAACCTGAATGAGTCAAACAACGAAACCTTGTTAATATCCCTGGAAACACAGAGAGCAGCCTGTTCAAACTGCATTCAGTGCAATAAATACAATTTCTAATCACAGAGAAAGAATACAGATTTGGCTTTAATTAAAAAAAATCAATTTATATTTATGAGTGTTCAAAATAAAAGCAATGCGAATGATTTGTGATGCACTTGAAATCCCACTGGGGTGATGAAACAAAAGTTAAAATAGTTTTTAATATAGAGCATTGTTCTACATCTCAGGGTACCATCACCTCTAAAAACGGTCAGAAGCCCTATGGAAACGGACCGCAGCCCTATGGAAACGTTTTGCTCTATAAGGATGTTTTGCTGCACATATATGAGGAAGTCTGGCTACCAGTGGTCTGAGCCTTTTCTTTAATATCTCCTGCCTTTAGGAGGTTTCTCCATCAGTCACTCCTTGTTCTAAGAGAAAGGGAATATTGGCAGCTCAGGAATTATCTGCATTTAATCCTGACAGTTTAAGACAGTACCTTGAATTGCTAAAGAACATGCAAGTAACATAACCAGGAATTTTTCATATGCAAAACCAAACAAGTAGCAAGGTAGATGCTGCTATAAACCTCACTGCAGGTGCCTAACCTATTTTTTTATGTTATTTTTTTTCTGAATGAGCACAGGAACTCCTTGGGGACACAGAAATAACAGTTATGTCCACATTGCTCTTAACGACTCGTCTTGGAGGCACCACGAGAGGTTCTCTCATGGCTTGCTCTGACACATTCAGTCCTGTACCCTGCAGCGAATTTGCCAGTCTCACTGTCTACACGGGCTGCAGATCTAGTTTTGGGGGCTGCTTTGGAGCTGGCCTTCAGCAGGCCTTGTAAACGTGCCCCGTAGTTTGGACAGTGAGAGTTTATTACGCCCAGTAAGGCCCATAAATCAAAGCAGGAGTGCAGCACTTCCTCTCTTTAAAAGATATTGCAGTGTGTTATACTGTGCATTTGTTATGGGTATTAAAAATAGCCATGCATGCTCAGAGCTTGTGCTTGATTATTTGGGAACACTGAAGCATGCACACACACAGCAGGAACCAAGCAGTAAAATGCACCCAGGAAGACATACTGCCCATCTCCCTCAACACAGCAAAAAGTTATTTTCCTGAAAAGTTATTTTTCATCTATGTACATTGGCAGGCTTACAGGGGTGGGGTGCAACAGTTAGTGGATGCTACACACATATTTTGGCTATCTGAGCCAAAATGTACATGCTTAGCTGTGAGCACATTTCCTTTGGGAAAAGGAAGAGTTTTTCTTTGCTTCTGGCCACTCTTATCTACTTTGTTTTGTGAAGGGTCACCACACTCCAAGACTACTCTTTCTCTCTTGTAGTCTTTCATGGAAGTGTGGTTTAACAGGAGCAAGGAAGTCTGGCTATCTTAAAATCCTTCCCGGATGGAAACCCCATTGGCTGAATGATTATCTTCTGAGGTTATCTTATTTGCCAAGTATCAATAAGGGTTGAAACTAAATCACGGGGTCAGAAAAGGGAAGAGTCAGCACCAATACTATTGCAATTATATTGCATTTGAGAAATCTGTAACATGATCTTACAAGCAACACACTGATACCTTCAGGACAGCAAACAAGTACATGGGCACTTCTCCAAATCCGTCTGCAGAATGACTACATCTCATACGAAGAACGCAAAACTTATTAACACAAGATTTTTATTTAGTAGCTGAAACCAACCTATGACACTAGATTATATTACAGAATTCAGGACTGAATTTGAATCATTCTCCTGGTTAGGGATGACTGCTCCTGGGGGTCCCACTCTAAGTCCTTCCTGGTGATTCCCAGCACTAATGAGGACACTCTCTCTCTCCTATGTTCTGCACACCACATTCCAGCTGTTATGACCATATTTATTTAGTCAGGATGCACATACTGGAAATAAAAATGACACAGACTCAGACATGCAGTATATTGAAGGGATTATTTTCTTCAAAAAAAATCTTTCTTCAAAGCTCTCCAAATATTCTAGTGATACACGTGTCATTTCCCCTTGTGATATGCCCTAAGCTTTAGCCCACACTCTCCCAGCCCTTCCTGCTCCCTAGGTGCAGGGAAAGGACCCAAAGCAGAGCTGTGCTGTGCTGGCTGGGCTAGCGCAGGCCCTGAAACCTGCAGGGCTGCAGGAATGAACAGGCCAAACTCCTCCGCGATCCGGGGGCGACTGTGGGTGAAGGATCCGCCGCGGGGCCCGCACTGCTCCGGGTGGCCTCCACAAAGCCTCCCACAGGCCTTCCCAGCAGGAACGGCCATGCAGGACCCGGCACGGGCAACTGCCCATTGCCAACCCCTGCTGCAAGACATCTAGGTTGTCCCTGAGCACATTTCATGGGACTTTGGGGTTCAAACAAGCACTGGGGGTCCATGCTCTGTGGTGGGCTGCGCCGTGTCCTAACTCCACCTCTCCACTGAGCAATCTGAAGCTGCTCTTTGGGCGTCTGTCCAAAACGACCGAGGCATTTCTCTGCTCCAATTCTGTTAGTTAATTAAGTCAGGATAAGAACTCACCTTCGGTTTGCAAAGGGACTTCCTGAGGGAACGGAGTGGGAGAAGAGTGAATCGTTCATGCTGGTTACAGGTCGGGGGGGCCTGGAAGAGGGTAAAATATTCAGCTGTATTACTGTTGTACCAAAATCTGCATCGACAGCAGTTTGTACAGAGAATTAACAAACTTGTTTACAGGGATTTACTACTGGCATCTGCTGTGTTAAGTAGCAATAGTTCCAAATTAAAGACATTGCATTTTTAACCAGAAGTCAACAAAAACACACTGTTACTTAGGTCTGAAAGGACATAATGCTTGTGTCCATTCTGAGGAATGCAACTTGCTTCATTCTTTTTCTTATTTTTGTACTATTACTAGAAAACAATTACTATGCCATTTTCTTTTTCCAGAGCCTACAGTGCAGTCACTGCACTAGGGTGAGTGTGAGTAGGAGGTTGGCTGTGGCAGCGTGGAGATTTGCAGGGGGAACTGCCAATGAACTACACAGCTTTTCATATGATCGCCTGCACTAAAATCCATGCACATCCCCATTTCCATACAGTGACCACAGTCTACCCGTGCCCCAAAGTGTCCCATAAAATATGTATAGTATAAAACTGGTTTGACTTTAAAGCTCTTCAACTGGTCTTTAATATCTCAAAAACAAAATTTAAAATATGTATCTAGTTAGAAAGGATATATTAATAAAGATGGCTTTGTTACTACATTCTTTATTTCCTGCTTTTACTAAAAATGAAATGAGAAGGAATATTTTCCTCTGCTTCCTCTTTATGTTCTATTTTTTTAAAAAAATCTCCTTTCCTCTCCTTTCCTTTCCTTTCCTTTCCTTTCCTTTCCTTTCCTTTCCTTTCCTTTCCTTTCCTTCCCTTTCCCTTTCCCTTTCCCTTTCCTTTTTTTCCTTCCTCTCCATTTTGGGGTGCTCACAATTCAGTTCTGTAGTCCCAGTGGAAAGGGTGACACTGCCACCATGAATCTGAGCAGACCATCACCTGTCCACTTCACCTTCATGTCTTTAAGCTCTATCCTAACACACAGGTGGATGAGAGAGCTTCTAGCACTGAAAAGAGCTTTCTTCTTTCACTGCATGGCTGTATTCAAATGCTATCATTTCTTTGGGTCCAGATGCTGATAAAGTTAGGGATTTGTAATAATGAGATTATAGGGGTTTTTAAGCTTTTTTTCCTCCAACAAGTGTACTGAAGAAGAAAAATACTCACCAAGTATCTCTTTTGCAGCAAAAATGAAATGGAAAAGAGATCATTAATTGAATTGTCAATTTAAAATGCATGTGGTAAAAGTAAGGCACTTGACATACTTGATTCTCATAACCCTGATTCTGCAAAAAGCACAAGAAAGTCTTTGCATAAAAAGTCACTGATGCTGTTTATGACTGCGGAGTAGCTCTTTTGTACAAATGCCCTGTAAACTCTAAGGCTTTGCTAATGTTTTGTGAATAGTATTTGTTTTTATCACATTTTTCATGTAAAGCTTTAATATCAAAGGATATTCAAGTATAAAATCGGACATATGATATGGAAAGACAAGAACAGCAGATTTTATGGTAAAGCGAAGGAAAACTCTTAGCAATTGACTATAAATCTGTAGCCTTCTGGGTTTATTTCTAAACTTCTGGAAGTGAGATGGTTAGGCCTGAGTTCTGGAAATGAGTGGTGATGCTCTCTAACGAAAAGGAACTTATAACAAATCCAGTAACAGAAAATTTAGACTAGTGCTCCAGGATAGTCTAATCTCTTCATATTAATGTCAAAAATAATGTTCTCATGGGCTTATACATAAATAAAGTCAGGCCAGTGCAGAATGCATTTAAAAACGCCTCTGTGACACACTAGTAACGTCATTTGTCATCTCTATAGATTGGTGTTTCTTTTTTGTTGCCAATCTTTTTTTACAGAAACGCAAAGTGACCCTTCCGAAGCTCCTCCATCAGATTAACCACACATTAATAATTATTTCTTGCATTGTAACAAATGTGCTTTAAAAGTGTTTCTTAATTGAAAATTCTCTGTGGCACCCACAAAACAGAAAAACTGTGCAGTCTTTCTCTGTGTTATTACTCAAGGGTGGAAGAACAATGAAAAGGAAAGGCAGTATAAAATGCAGAGAGTATTTGTCCTCATTTAAGGCAGAAACTACTGAAAAAAAATGACGCCAATTTGTTGCCAGAATTCTTCTATTAAATGCATATCTAAAAACCTTTTTGCCTGGTGTCTTGTCCAGAGCTGTTTCTCACCTCTTATCTCCTAACACATTTAAAAATAAAAATCACATCAGCAAGCAGGTATTCTCCATGAAGCGCTGTGGCATATCCTTCCCCTCAGTTAATTCATGTGAGTTACACTGTAGATCATGCTACCTTCACAGCCTGCTGGTTTGTCACTCATCTATCATTATGCACAGGATAGTTATATTGCTTTCAATCTACTCATAAAGAGAAGCTATATCATAAAGCATAATAGATGGTTACTCCTTCTCACATGCAATCACTCTAAATTATGACTGTGTATTTAGGAAGAAGAGAAGGTGTTAAATTTCCCAGCAAAGATTTGGAACAGACCCCACTCAGTTATGGTAGCTCCTCTTTGCCTTGCCTTGCCTTCCCCAAATGCATTTAACTCATTTCCAGTTTTTGCTACCTACTATCCGTCTCCATGCACCAAGGACTTCGAAGGCCTCCAGGCGACATGAAGCAGAGGCTTCTCTTTCAGCTTCATGCTCCCTGTCTCTTTCCATTTCTCTTAAAGATGGCCAGAATCTGTCCCGTGAAATTATCATTGACTCACCAACAGAGCGAAGTTTTTATAGCACACTCAGTAGCACCTCAGCAAATCCATCTCTAAACGATATATTCCAGGGTACAATGTGCCCCCATTACACTGCTATAAAGATGTGCATTGATTTTAACTAACCATCAGTGTAACAAGGACTTGAAATGAAAATATCTGTCAGAGGTGCATCACATTTTAAAAGCAGAGCACTCTTTTCTGCCTTGAAAAAGTCCCATTATGTATATCCTACCAAATGTGACAGATCATCAGCATGGTTTATCCATAAAATATTAGGTAGCTTAATTCTTAATGTGTCATACAACCCACAGTGGCCCATGGGCCCTTACCCTTAAAGATGCTACTTAAAAATGTTCAGTATTGGCAAAAGTCAAAACATATAATAATTATAAATAGGAATAGTTTCAGTATCTAGTAAGCTGGATATACAGCATGCAAACACAATTATAATGGCAAATACCTGAAAGGCCTCAAAGGGGTAGGGCTTTGCTTAAGAAATATTACAGAATAGTCTTAGGAGAAATACTTGGAAGTCTGTATTTTTGGATTTTTTTTTCAAAGAATCTCCAAGTTTTTCCAAATCATTTTTTCATACCAATATCTTGATTTTTCCTGAACTCTGGAATATTTAACTTTTTTATTTTCTTTTAAGGAACCAAAGAGCAAAGATAACAAACTGACTGATGAGAAAATCTGAGTAACTGCTAGTGCAAACGGTGGATACACTTTTGAGAAAAAAACCTCTGGTGTGATGATTTCCCCGGTGTGTACAGCTATATTCTCTCTCTACTCTGAGTTGCTTGATTCCTGCAGAGAAAAATTGATGACACAAGCTAATCTACCAAACACTACTTTTGCTTCCCTAAGATTTCAAAACGTAAAGATAATGGAATTTTCCAAATTAAATCATGCTTAAAGAGCCCAGTCTTACGCAGAAGCACACAGCTAGTCTCCACAGCCAGCTGCCATCACAGTGCCACTCAAGACAGTGAGAACTGACACAAATTTCAACAAAATTGGTCAGGCTTCACTTTTTTTCTGGTGCCTCATTGTAAGACATACATGAGTTACAGTGAAGTTTGGAGTCTCTAGCTGACAAAGCAAATGTCCTAAGCACAAATACCTCCCGAAGTGCTGAATACTGGAACTACATCAAACTGCAGGGATATTGCTTCTCCTAGGAGAAGGGGGATACACAGACATTGTATCCCAGTATTTGTGCAGTTCATATGCACGTTCCTATTCCGCTGTCATTTCAAGTTAGTCACACAGAAGAACACTTTCATACCAAACACCTCTCAGTGAATTTGCATTTGCAATGCATTGGACTCGATCTGACACAGCTGCCTTGTACTGTGTTCAGTGTTGCCTCCCCTAGGTGCAAGCAGCACCTCGAACAAGGTTTACTTTCTCTACAGCACACAGATACTTACACAATATGAGCCAGGTTTAGAGGTTTTTCAGGCTGGTCAGGGAACATTGGGTGCAAAGGTTCACGGCTGGAAGCACAGCTTAAAGACTTGCTAAGTGCATTAGTTAGCTTCTTAGCAGGTGATTTCTGGGAGGAACAAGGAAGGTAGAGGTAATCCGGACAAGTAAGGTGCATATTGTTTCTACTAAAGGAAGCACAAAACAATAGGTAGCTCTACTGCTTATATTTATACAGTCTTATACCCTTCTTTTCCCATCCCCACCAGTGCCCAAGAGTGCAGGAAGTCCAAGACCATGCAGATTGGCTGCAGATTACTCTTACCTTCAGGGGCCCCCAAGGTATATCTATATGGATAGGTGCAGACTGCCACAGGTTCTTTGCAATGCAGTGTCCTGGGTAATATTCCATAGTGAAGGACAGCATAATTAATGTCTTCTGGACTGGAGCTGGCTTGTACCTTGCCAACTTAGAGTGCAAGCTTAAGAAATTTATGCCTGTCCATATAGATACACTGCATGAGACACACTTTCCTTTCTAGTTACGGGCCAGATACAAGACTGTTATATTCTTTCTTGACCAGCATTTCTTTCCTCAGTGTCCTGTACTTGCTAGCTGTTGATCTTCAGATTTCTCCTCTTGTCTCTCCTAGAAGCCCTGACCCCCACTATACTGGGGAAAGCAACGGGGACAGGGAAATCTCAGACACAACATGGCCCACAGCAAGTAAGAAGAGGCTGAAATACTCGCATTATAAAAAAAAAAAAAACTAACAGGTTCTGTGCAAAAAGCATGCTTTTCACATTTTCCAACCCTGTAAGTCTAAAAAAAAATCATTTTTGGCTTTCTAACTTTGTCTAGACCTTCTTTGTGGTTGAACATGCTAATAGAGAAGCCATCTTCCAACCTCCCAATCACAGGTCCTTTCCCAAGGTGGGCTGAGCATGACTGCACAAGGGTCAGAGATCTTTGACATCTTCTGGGGTCCGTGAGAGATTCCCAGGGCATTCAACAGAGCTCTCTGAGATTTCAGTCCTCCACCAGTAAAGCAGGGGCTAATGATTCCTACGTTGGATCCTCCCCCAAAATACAACTCAAAGTGCTGAAATGCCAAGATATTTTTAGAGCTTAACAGGAATGGCATTATAGATGCACACACATCCCACAAAGTTATTACCGTAATCAAGATAATAATGAAACACTTCTATTACAGAACTCCAATACAAATATGCAAAATTCAGGCTTTCTCTCTTTTCCATGATAAATGCCATTTCACTCTGAATACAGATCAGTTGAATTCCACTGTGCGCACACGCACACTCAAGCTCAACACAGCATCTTGATGGGGAGTGCTGGTCTGTTTGGAACAAACGTTAATAACGCTACAGAAACGCAACTTCAGAGTGGAAGGAAAATATTTGTTTCCGACAACAAAACCCTCGCAACCGCGAGGCATGCACTCACATTTCGTTTTGCCGAGAAGAAATGCTAAGTTTTGAAATGATTTCCTGCCTATAATTACATGTCCCCTGCTGCAGCACATGGTCTTACAGCACAGATTGCTACTAGGGGTGGAATAAGAGCGGCAGACACGTCCCCGTTCAGAGACTGCACTCCAGTCCATCCTGTCTATGCAACACGAAGCAATTAGGACCCATGAGCACATTGACGGACTCAGATCTGCCAGGAGGCAGAGCTGGGCCCCGTGGCAGGCATGCAGAGCAAACAGCTTCACTTTAACCCCTGCTTGCTCCAGCAACGACAAGCAGAGCAGGGTGGCAGCAGTTTGTGAACTTTGTCAAAAAACGCGCGCAAAGCCCAGTGTGTGCACGAGTTTTGGCTACATGCACAATGCCCCTTTTCTATAACTGTATATTTTGGTGGTATTTGAGGGTTTCTCTGCTGACGGTTCCTAGCTTTGGACCCTGCAGGATGGTTTCCCAGGGGCCTGGCCTTCTGTTTCTGCTGGGGCTTGGCTCCCACGCAGGGAGAGCTCAGTGTGCACAGCAGCTGCCCGCTCAGCAAGGCGGATGAAGTTGCTGGCACTTTTCTGTCACCTGAGCAAAAGCGCTGAACTCTGCCGTTCAGGGCTGAGGAAGCGGGGTTTGCCCCAGAGCACACGCTGCGACGG